CGTTTTGCATTAATTTCATAAAAACTTAATTTTAAATTTCAGAAAAATGCTTTTTAAGTAAGTATATTTATACTATTTTTAACTTGTTAATGTGTTTTGTACTTGTGTTTGTTAACTCAGCTTTTCTTCTAGCAGGTTGCAGCGCTGCTAGACCTTAATCAGATTCGTTAAAATTGATAATTCGTTCGAAATTCAAACTTGATTTCAATTTTCGTGTGTAATTGTAATCATTGGCTGCCGACGGTTAATCTGTATTCCTTCGACGAAGTTGAAGTTGTGTTTGAAAAATTGGTTCGGGAGTTAGAATAATAAAATGAGTGTTTCAGAACTTTTGATCAGACGAAAAAATAATGGAAATCAAATGCTACCGAAGTCACACCGCTTGAAAAAGGAGAATAATAAGCATCAATTGTCGAATGTTGCTTGTCCAACAGCTCTTAAACAGGACCTCGTAAATTTTCCGAGTATCATTGTTCGGGAAGGTAAAAGTTTGAATCAATGGCTGAAAAAATATTGGCCCTCATATTTTAGTGAAGTTTTTCAAAACGGCGCTCCCAATACAGATCCAATCATGAATGCAAAGTTCAAAAAAGATTTTATGAACCGGTTTGCTGAAGCTATAAGTGAAAGCAACAAAGAATTTTCGTTTTCTGAGAGTTCTTCATGCGCTCCCGATAGAAATGAATTAGTCTCGCTTATAAAAAGAAAACGGTCTGTGACGTACTTCACTCAAAAGAAAACTTCCAAGCTCCAGAAGATGCGAAGGAAAACTAGCGTAAATAATGAACATCGTAGCAGAAAGAATAAGAACAAAGATTTAAAAACTAAATCTTCGCTGAATAACACGTCTACAGTATTTGATACATCAAGTACAGACATGGAATACTTTTCAGAGTCTGAGTTGCCCAATGACAAAGTTTCTTCTCCCCATTCTGGCTGCTTACCTGAGAAATCGGCTAAAAATTTTGCCGGAATAAATCGCCAGAGCCGTAACGTTAGAATAAAGACAAATTACGGTGAACGTCTGATACCAATTCCACCGAAAGTGGCCGAAATACCAGAAACTGCTAGAGTTTCATCTCCAACTTGGTCATCGCCGCGAGTTGTCACATTTCGGCGAAGCGGTAGTTTTGCATCGGAGATAGCACAGAAAGCTCAGCTTTTTCAAGAGAAACGTAAAATTTCTAATTCTAATAGAACAGTCCATCATTACGGCTCAAAATATGTATCTTTGCCGTTGATAATTAATCCGACGAATGAAAATCGTGTGATGAAAGAAGATAATAAAAGTTTGCCCTTTATTTCCGAAAATAGTGTCCGTACTATCGGCGGAAATGCGTCTCGTACGATGACTACGTTTGCGAAAATTTCGAAAGAAACGTCTGATGATAAAGGCTGGGTGAAAAATGGTGAAATGTGCGAGGAACAAAATAAGGTGACCCGAGTCACTACTAAGGGCCCAGAAAAAAAATTTCTAAGAGAAAACGAGAAGAAAGAGTCTTGGGTTGGTAAGTGCGACCTTTCCTCTGCTGCCGTGTCTGCTTTTACAACCTCCAATGATGCGCGCATTGGATGCACGAAAGAAAGTATACCTGAAACGAAATCATTTAATTGTAATGATGACTCATCGTTGGGCTCTAGCTTTCACATTCAGTGGACACCTGGTGAGGCCAAAACTGAATTTACTTCTGAATTGCAAAATGTTGAGAGTGGAACTGGAGATGTAATCCGAAAAACAAAGGCAAAACCGGAAGAGATGGTAAAGGAAGAACGGTGTGCTCCATCGAAGCCCTATTCTCCCGTGAAGCTGAAAGGATATTTTTCAATAAACTCTTCTACAATTAATTTGTGTGGAGAAACTTCGAGCAACTGGCAAGTTCGGAAAAGAAGACCTTCCGACGAAGGCATTTTGGCTGATTGGACTCCTGATGTGGAATGCGAAGATTCAGACTCTAGAGAGCGCGAGACGACCAACACAAATAAATTTGTGATAACAAAGCCTTCAGATGCCGGAGTTGGAATTTCAGTTTGGTCTCAAACGAATGAAATTGAGACCAGCAATAAGTTTGATACGTTCTTGTCTCACAAAGTTTATCTTCCAGACGTCGACTATTCGCTTGACAACGATGCCATGGCGGTTATAGGAAAAAATCCGTGCACGTGTAATACACGTAAGACCTCTTCTGTATTCACTCCTTCCAAACTTTACATGATGCATGCGAGAAGAAATCCAAATCTGGCCTTGAACGATTTCCTCGGGAAAGACTTTTCAAGTTTACCGGCTAACGGAATAAGACCATCTCCCTTCCCAACCAAACCGGAGACACCTGACCAAGATTTCTCCGATTCACTTTCCAAGTGCAACATCTTCGCGCATCACACTCCTGCAACAATGCAGTGTCCTGATTGCATCTGTTCACTTTCTGACTCAAGAGCGAGGCATGAAGATCGTTTTACAAGCGCTACAAGAAGGAATGTTTCTAGCGATTCTTCTGATGGCCAAATTGGACTCTCCGCTAATGCTTGTCAAATAGGCCGGAAAAGGCGTCGAAAGATGAGAACTCGCCTAAGAGGCACAAGAAGATCTTTTTCTGCGGATAATAATCGCTGGTCAGACTGCGAGGAATGTTATAAGGACATAAAAATGCTGCAATCAACAGGAAAATCCAAAGACCTACTCAGTCAACATACAGAGAAGTTTCGTACAAGTCGACCCCTTCGTGTTACGGGACGATCGCATTTTACAAATTATCGAAATTTGGGCATGCGCCGGAAAAAAACACGTCATTTGAGAAGCCACTTTTCAACTTCCCATCGAATCTCTCGTCGTCACCGAAAACTAACTGGGAAACATCGTATTCGTTTTGCTGCGACTCCGCCACTGAATCGACCAAGTAAGCCGTCGCGCACTTCACGTTCAGCAAATATTTGATTTCTCACTTCTCACCAAAAAGAAACAACCCGCTGCAAATGTTATACATTAAAATTTTTTATTCACATGCATGAACCCACTATTAAACTCTTAATTGTTGTAGAACCACAAAATGTTCTAACTCGCGTCGCGGCACTGACTAAATAATTTTAAATAACCGGTCGCCCCCAAATACTTCTTTTTTTTCCCCCGACTTAAACACATTAATATAGAACACAACGCATATTAAAGTATATTTTTGCACGGAATTCCTTAAATTCTAAAACCTAGTTGAATAAACAAGTCAATTTTTTCCGTATTCATATTCTTATTACGTTACCATTAAAGTTTAAACAATCTTAATATGCACTCAAATTGTTATTTTTAAAACCGGTAGTCACCGTATCTGTTGAGATATGAAAAATTGTATTTGAAATAATGAAATGTCAAAGTAAGGTAATCTCCTTGTAATTTCAAAGAGCTTCAAAAGATTCAATATCGATTAAAGGTAATCATCTATTACGGAGTTGATTCGAACGGCATGCGCGTAAATGCATCTTGACTGCCTGTATACACAATCTTTAATTCCACGCGCATTTCAATTCCATGGTGTATTCCTTGCCGAACTTTTGTCCTTTCTTTTGACCTAGAATTAAATCCATTTGTATTCACGAATTAGACTTCTATGCAACACCATGACCTCAAAGTTTGAAGTCATGCGGCCATTACAGAGCAACTTATGCCAAGCTGTACCGTTCGGTTTAGTGGCAGAATAACGGACGAGGCCGCGGCGACGACCACAGTGTAGGGGCGGCCGTCTCGTGCGACCATATGGCGTCTGGTCCTGTTACACGATTTGCATCAGCGCCTACGTCTGCATGGATCATCAGCTGGCAGTCATTATTGTTGCTCGTCGACATAGAATAAATATTTAAATGGGAGATACTGGTCGTCAACCGAGAACCTTTACTGTAGCGGCGCCTCAGGCTCTTCGAATAAATATTTAAATGGGAGGTACTGATCATCAGCTGCAGGCAGCCCTTACTTTAATGGCACATCGAGCTATTCGGTATAGAAGAAATATTTAAATGTACGACACTGATCCCTGAGAAGGAATTGGTCTGTTCTGCGGTCTCTGGACCGTCAGCGAAAATTATTTAATTTAGTACGCCATAACTCGATGAAAATTCCATAATTAAAATTTTACCATGTAACAGTAAATTTTTACATGTAATAAGTGTTGATCTCCACTTTATAATCTCAGCACCCAGGTTTCAAGACCCGAATTATTACTCTCTGATCAACAATTCTTGCATTGCACTGCTGTGTACAAGTCTCTCTTATGTGAGAACAGCTAAGCGAGATAAGACAAGGAGCCGTAAACCGACAAACTAGCGTCCGTAACTGCAGTGTTGTACGAGGGGATTGCTCCTACGAACGCAAGCTTCCGTTTGTTTGGCGAGGCGAGAACAGTTCGACGAACTAGAACGAGCAGCTTTATCGGCAAACAGCAATCCAGATTTCAAGAAACTATTGGATTTCTAGATGGGGATCTTTCCAGGAGAAAGTGTGATTGTAAACACACTTATGTTTTTCTCCAAGGATTACGAGAATGAAATGCTTTTACTATTCACTGTTTTCGTTATCGTCCAGAATGATTGTTGTTATCAGTCGAGGAAGCGAATTCCCTTGTTGGTTCAAAACACGCTGCTGTGTGCGGTTTCCATGAGCACATTTCTTCTAAAATATTCTAAATACTACATAGTAATTATTCCGACCATTTTCGAATAAAATAATATTGTATATAATGTGAAATTTTATTTCAATATTGTGTTTTGTCAACACAATTGAAATCACGTCACCATGATCCAGGGAAACAATGCTATCAACAGTTACAGTGTTACACGAACATTCCCGTAAATAGTCTGCTTGCTGCACAATTAAACTTTTTTTCAACCAATGTTGCGTGAACATAAAAACATCTGCTTGCGCCTTCAGGTGCTTAGTAGTGCGCGAACGGACGCGGCGGCAGACGACACGTGCGCCGGCCAGCGTGCCACGGATTCTGCCGTTGTGGAAGAATTTGCCAGGCAGCGTCAGTCGCCTCCGCGGTCGACTGAGCGACGCACGGATCTGTCTTCTCTGAACTAACAGGCCTTGGATGTGAAGTGCACCATTGTTTCGTTTTAGCGTTCAAGTGAAGCATTAACTCCATAGCTATGGAAGATAAGGTTCCAGTGAAATGTCGGGCCGCAAGACTATAATTCTGTGTGAATTAATAATATTTCAGAAACAACCGTCTAGTTTTTGGTTCTTCAATATCAGTTGTCTTTAACTATAACAACTTAAATATTTTCACAACTTAATTTTGTTGCTGCTGAATTAAAGCCTCAAACATAGATAACAAATTAAAAAGAAAAAAAAATAAAACAAACCATTACACTGATCGACACGAAGATACTAGGTACGTTACTGTTAGCAGTGAGAAAAAAAAAATAAATAGTTTTTACACTACTACTAGTCGCCTTTCAAGGACCGTCACGCAAATAACATCAACGTAATGTTAAACTACTGTTCGGACACACCGCATTTAAAGACAGTTCTGATTTTTTATTTTATATTCTCAGTTCAAAGTTCTAATTATTTAATAACTCGTTAACCAAGCATGGATGCCCCTGATCAAGAAATCGATCATCTGTACGCGGAACGCTACAGGAATGAGGTCAACCCGCCGCAATCTCCGATCCCGAGGGACAGTCTCGAGAACAGCAGCGACGGAGGGCATTCCGTTCGCTCTTCTCTCCGGTCTAGTGTTAGGAAAAGCGGTAACATTCGAACTCAGTCACAAAATTCGAGTATAAGTGAAAAAATTAGCAAGTTTGAAGCGACTGCCGGTCATCAATTAATTCAACGTAAGTTTTTTCAAAGGAGGAATTCACCATCTTCTCCAAACCGACCTCTTGCCAGTCCCGAAAGTGTCGATAGGGGATCACCACGGCTAAATCCTCATCAGTTGCTCCAACGAAGCATTCAAGCAAAAGCCATTCCGGCACAGGTGATGAATGTCGATTTTCGCGACTTGGGTGAGAAAGAATACCTCCAACATAATTCATCCTGCTCAGGGTTGAAAGAACCATCGAAGACATTTTGTGATGAACACTCTCTTACGTCAGCACCAACTTCACGAATTCCTAAAGCATCCTCGATCCGCAGTTTGGCGGTAGGATTGTACTCAGTGCAAGAGCATTCCAACGACAATTCCCTAAAGAGGACGGAAGTCGGAAAAGACGTTAAATCGAAACCATTAGCATATTCTGATAGTGAACCACTCAAGGTTCGAGTTAACGTAGAGGAAACCGATGAAGCAGGCCGTTATTCCTCAGAATGCACACAAAACAATGGCAATCCTCAGATTTATCGGCTTAGAAATGAGGAATTTGATTCTGCTAAACAAAACATACCATATGACTTCAGGCAGCCGTTTCCGAAGAATGCGGTTCCAGGTGACTTCTCTGCCAATTTCGAAAGAAAGATGAGCTGGACTGCTCAAAATGGTGTGGATTATAAGGATCCAACTCGCAACAAAAATGTCCAAGATACCTTTAACCAACTTCCACTAGAACCTGCATTGGGGCTAAGAGAAAATTCCAGGGGTAACGAAATTCCGGTAGCTTCAATGACTGAACTTGAACCAGGCAGGCGAATGGCACAATCTTCAGAGGGTTCGTTACAAGTTGAAGCTCCTCAGTTTGGAGTCTCCCGTAAGTCATCAGTTAGTGAGAACCCTACTTCCCGAGATAAATTTCCCCGCATGGAAGACTACGGATTTTCTGAAGGTAGTGGCTTTGATATGAAGCATCTGATGTCGCACCAAATATCAAATTTGATGGACCGTCGTTTGTCTCATCAAGATCCCAATATCAGTTACGACAGTTCTGTGTTAGCTCAATTAATGACTGGCTCTACAGAGTTCCCTAAGAAATCGCCGGTTTTCGGTCATAATGAATATCTAGACGAGGCACACACTCCTTTGACCAGTGTTAGCTACATTAATGACTCGCCCCTGAATAAACGCAACCCACTTCACCATAATAACTCAATAAACACAGATCCTCTGCAAAAAAATAATCGAGAGCAAATGGCAAGTCCTGAAAGTATCTACCGGCAACCCAGTCTAGCCAATTCCAGAACTGCATCACAACCGTCTCCACAAGAACCGCCAGATTTCGCAAAAGAGGCGAATCGTCCACTGAGTCCCATTATTCGGAATTCAAGCTGTCCGATTTCAACTCCTCCTCCTGCTATTCCGTCTAGACGTCCATCGTTGCTAAGAGTGGTCACTGAAAATCAATTTCTGGAAACTTCTAATTACCTTACCGACGGTTCTGTGGAAGAGCACGGAAATCTTCTGTTGAATGATCATGAATCATCATCTCCTCCATTCTTCCAATCATCAAAGGCTAGATCATCAGCATCACAAAATTTGCCTAACGAGAAAGCAAGACTCAACTCAAATCCACTCCTTGGGCCCGGTCCATCCAGCGAAGGAGTTTACAAATTCGCTGATATTGAACGAAAATTTGCCACGCCAAGTCCCCGATCAAAAGCTGAGTTCATAAACGGAGAACTAAGTAATCCCGCTGGACTTCTTGCATATGTAACTCGTGATTCCAATTCGCCTCGCATTGAAAGGAGTATAACGGGCCTAATCCGCGGGAAACGATCACCTGGAACTGACAGCGAAGATGGTAACTCAAGAAGAGACGCTTCGGAATCTCCTTACTGCAAAGGCCAGGATAACAAGCACCCGGTAAAAGTCCTTCCCTCAGAGTTAAACAGTACGGATGTGATTGAAAAGATGCGTAATCCACCGCGAAGAAATACCGATGAACAGATTGCCCATTCTAATACAGTGGAAGACGTTATGGTTAAAGAATATAAGTTGGTGAAAAATCCCGGTAGTAGCAAGAAAAAGAAGAAGAATGAACTCGTCATGTCTATCAACCGAACTATTTCCAAGGGAAAAAATTCGTTGCGTTTGAGAAAACATCAAGAGTTGCTGGAAGACAGCAGCTCAATCTCGTCACACGGAGACTTCGATGCTGATGGATCACTGGAAACCGACCATCGACTTCCAAGGACTCCAGTCGGGAAAACTAACATTCAGTCTGCAGAAAAAGTTCCCTCTGACGACGCATCTTCTGGCCATTCCTCCAGAATCTCTACTCCTAGGAATGCCTACAGATTTCTTGACAATGAAGGACGTCGCTCATCTGCCGAATCCATGTCATATAGCAGCTGTAGCGAATCTCAATGCAGTCGCAACGCTTTGGCGGTACGTCGTGCACATCCCGAACCCAAAAAAGAAAAGAAACAGAAAATGACCCCGAAGAAATTTTGGTCTTTCACTACTAATGTGATTTTTCCGAAATGTGAGTATATAACTTCCTCTCACCAATATATATATATATAAACAGTTTAGAGAAATATCGCCTTTAGAGCTGTTTGTGTTATTTTAGTTGTCTCACCTTGAGTCATTAATTCTATCTAGGCTTCCAATTTTCAGTTTACTCTGAAAATTGAGAGTTCGTAAATTCCACGTTTCCATATTATCCTCGGAACATGTCTTCAATTACACTTAATTTGAAGGGACAATCTAGAGGAAGCACCGGAGATAATATTGCAACCTACAAGGGATCTCTAATCTCATGTAATCGAAGAAATCGTTAGTCGTTTGTATACCATAGAAATATCTTCTTAATTGCAGACTCGTTGAAGATCAAGGGAAGAGATGCGAGTGCATGAGTCCTACTTTCGCAACAGGAACGCCTTTTGGTTTCTCTGTAACTGTTGGCTGCAAAACCAAGCGTCATCTGCAGACCGCTTGCTTGTGTTGCTCCCGAGAAAACGACGCTTGACTACTATTTTCTCTTATTATTTTATTCAGAGCCTCTCTTATTAAATTTGCTTGCTTAATTCGCAAAAACTTGAAATTAATTTGAAATTAATTTGAAAATTAATTTGAAATTAATTGAAACTAATTTTTCACCGCCTTTTGTGATACAGGTCTGAAAAGAAGAGCTTGATTATATTACTTAAATTATTAGGTTGCATTATTTTTAAGTTCCATGATACGGATTTTTTTCCCTTTTCTTAAATTAGTTCACGCATGTTGCCTGGGCAAACTACGAATAGCTTAAGCGTCAAATTTTCAAAAATGTATCTGGCCCAATAGCGGTATTCATGCGATGGTTTTTCTTTGGCATTTTCACTGTCTACCTGATTATTTTTTGCTTATTCCGTAAGATGCAGCGCGCAGTTTTAGTCCTCCTTGCACAGGTCATTAGCTGCAGGCAATGGCCGTAACAAATGAAGCTAGTCACTACTGCACTTCTTTCTACACTCTTGCCAACCACCGTCCTAACGGTGCTTGGCGAATTGTCATACCTGAGCCGTACCTGACGTTAATTTTACGCGATCAAAATCCAAAATAACCACATTTACAAAATGGCATAGATAGGATTTTTGTCAAACATTGTATGTTTCAGGCAATGAAGAAAACATAATTTTTCAAACGACATCAAAGGCGATTTCCGCTAATTATCTGTGGATGAGTTTTTGTGTGGAAAATTATATTTCAACAATTGCAGTGGCCACTTTAAACTGGAAGTGGTGAATTTTATTTTGATATAATTTTCGACCTATTGAACGTTGTAAACTGCAATCATGTACACTATGTCAGAAATAGTATAGTAGCCGATCTAGAAGACGAAAAGAAAATGACATATTGTCAAAACAAAAAACGGCGGTATTTTCTGTTAGATGAGAAACTACTATATTATTCCTGTTTAATACTTGTTATTTTTCACCTGAACAGAAATCGCGCTAAGACAATAACAAGTCTTCAAAATTATAGTATAGCATTAGGCTATAATTGTCTTTAAGACACATTAAAATATAACTCAGTACTCACTGCATTGAGTGACAGAGAGCGCATTTTCTCGTCGACAAAAACGTGAAGTCACGGACGGACAGACGGACGGACATGACGAGCACAGTAGCGCCTTTTTTCCGTAAATGAGAAAATGCGCTAAAAATATAATTTTACATATTATATTAAATTCAATGATAAATGATGAAATCCATTTAATTTATGTTATCATCAAGTTTCATACGTTACACTGAAATTGTATGGATCGATGCACGCTCGCCACTTATATGCACTGTAGATTCTCTAGCCGTTCAAATGATTGGGGACTGCAAATGAATAGCGTAGCCAGGCGAAAGTTTCCTCGTTATAATTACCCCAATGGTGACTTTAGTGATAATCACTGCGCACCATTGCACGTCACCACCACCATTACACTCTTTAAGGCGTCCGTTTTTCTAAGGACGGAAGATGCTTGAAGGCGAGCGATCGCTCCATGTGATTCATTAGTTAAGCGTGAATGTATACATAAATGACAATTATAACCTCTTAGAAAGCAAAAGTATTGTAGAAGTTCAACGGTTTCGTTTGAGAAGTGCTTTTGCTGATAGAGAACTGTCTGTTTTTTTTTTCTTCAAATGTTGGTTAGTGCAACGGCTTCATTCAACTATCATAATTTTGATAAATTCTATCATATGTTCAGCTTACATTGAAAATAATTCCAATTGGGTCAATTAATTTGAGTAATTGATACCTACTACGCTCGTATCATCACGTCATTATGTCTCCTACTGAACTAAGGTTGCAGTAGGACTAAATACTGACTTGTGTCAGCGCTGTCACGGCTTTCGGCGCCGCGGTCCATCGTACAGGCTCACAAAGTCTGGTTTAGTCGTGGTCATGTGACGACCGTCGCTGCAGGTGGCGCGGCAGCTATACTGCATTTGAGCGCATTTAATATAGGCACTACCAAGTGATACATTACCAAATGAATAAACGGAAAAATAATGATAATAAAAAAGAGTTTATGATGGTGATTGGGGTTTGTGAATTAGATATTTCATGTTCTTGATGGAGTGAAATTAACGAAGTGTGTTGTACTTCTAGCGTTGAATTTTACTTTACTGTTACGAAAAAATAAACTTTCGTTTAACTACTACATAAATTAAATAGTGTCAAGTGTTAAACACAAACCTTACTTTCTTTACAACTTTGAAGTAAAATGCAATTCAGTGTTTTGAAGAAATTCCAATACTGCGTTTTGCACTACTTAATATATCGCGTCAGACATTCTTATTCAAAATCTGATGTTATTCTTATGTAATATTCAGCTTTATTCTATAGACTGATGATTTGTGTTCACATTATATCGATATATACGCTCAAGTTTTAACGGAAATGAATAAATATTTACGAAAAAAAGTGGATGTCTACTACATTGCTTTGTATATTTTATCGATATCATAAAATTTATCTATAACGTCGGACCTTCCCTCGTGGTCTTATCACACGTAGACGTCACCACCCTCGTGAACGCTCGAGTGAAAGCCCTCATTAAAGTCAGTTCCGTTCTAGAATGACTTTCTATGCGTATTACTTTTTGTGTTGCCTTGTAATCGAAAGCTTATCAGTAAAATATTACGCAATTACGAATATTTACCAAGATTCTGTTTTTGAGTTACGACTGAAGTATTGAGTGAGAGGACGAGATTTGTCAGGATGTTCAATGCATGCTCCTCATTTTAAAACTTTTTCATAACTTTCTTGCATACATCAGTTATTTCCCGTCGTGTTCATCCTTATTAACTAGAAAAATCATAATGTTTACTCTGTTCATGAAAGAGAATGCGCAGTAACGTGGCTTTCTGCAGCGTGTACATGTTTGACACCCGCCCTCTTCCGTCCCCTTATCGTCGGTGCGTCTCATTTCCGCGTCCTCACAAATTGAACTTATCCGCCACGACGCCCGGCATGAGATTAAACTATGAACACATGACAACAAAATATGACGTTTGATAAGTTCTGAAAGTTAAAATCTTTCTTGAATAGTGTGGATTTTAAAGCATCTTGGAAGCTCAAAATAACATTGGGTGGATCTAAACCGTAGGCTTTCTCGATATAGGCTCGAAATCCTGATATGATTTTGTCGGTTAAATTTCTCACTATTAACATCATCACTTGATTGACGTCCGCAATTCTGAAATTGAATACTATTAAGAACTGATGATGGTGCTGAAGAATATTGTCGTCTAAACAAACTTTCAAATAAATAATTTTACTTCCTTCCCAATTCCTTTTAATTTGTTAACCCCTACCCAATTCCTCGTACGAAAGTTTCTTGTGGTCACATATGTATATCAATCAACGTTAAAGTTTGGAGAGTGGTGACTTTATTTCACTCGTGTAAAAAATTTAAATAAATTCATCTCTCGGCCATTTAAGGTATAATTTATTAGTACCTATGTCCTTCATGTGAAGCTGAACATAAATGAAATAAATTAAACAAGTTTCGAACCTAAGTCTGGCGATGCGGTTCGTCCGTTGGACTCCGCACGCTAAGCCAACGTCAGAGCGACGTAGCAGCTGCAATTGCTCCCACCACCGCCACCAGCGATGGCTTGCCGCAAACCAAAAGATTCTCAAATCCTCAGCAATTGGTCCGCCTCCGGTAAGGCATGAAACTCTGGACAGGCTGGATGAACTGACCGCAGCAAGCACCGGATCGTCAGCTGATGTATTGCTGACGGATGATTACATCGTGCCAATAAATAATAAAAGGAGGGCTCCTTTTGGCCGAGGTAAATGGATACTGGGCGTTCACACTGTACCTTAATATAAAAAACATACCTTGCGCATTTCGCGACTCGGGACTGAGCTTCCTATTTCTTAGGCGCAAAAACGTATCAATTTTTTTTCTCGTACATTATTGTCTCCAAAATCGAGACCAGGGATAACACCACTTGAAGTTCAACATTTATCTATTCAGGCCTATACCTTGCATTTGAGCAATTAATAATTTAATATTTCTCCATTGTATTTTCCATGAAAAGTAAGTCAAAGATATGAAAGTCCGGTGATATTCTCGCTTTACCGCCGTCCCGGTCACCGCAAGAACAAAATTCCAACAAAGAGCATCCGGCACGAAGATGATCGCGTGACGCAACAGTTGTCGCTACGCTGGACAGACCCTCCTGAACTAACTGTAACGCTGCCGTCTAACTGTTACAACGCCTTTTTGTGACAAGGACTATTCTGTGTCTAGCTCATCAGCTTGCTGACCTGGAAAGCAAACTAATCTGGAATAGAATCTCTAACTCAATCACGTAGTAGGTATCCTTTATATATCTCACTTCATCATTCCGTTTTTTAGCGGAATATCTTAACTTATATCCGCAGCTAACGTTTTAGCCGAATATATACCTTAATTGACAAAACTTTAAAATCTCTTTAACAGTTAATTAGAGCGACAACGATTTGATATTTTACTTCTTATTTCCATAATTGAAATGCTTGCAATAAATATGAATGAATGTTTTACTTATGTTTAAGGTCACTCGAGTTTGGTGCGGCGCTGAATAGCATTCATTGTTTTCTTAAGTAGACCGTGACACGCATCACGTTGATACCAACGTGCGTCATCTTCTACGGCTTTACTGAGTATATGATGAGCTATGGAGAAGCTTCTTGATGATCGCTGTTGCCATGACTCGTTGTGTAACGTGTTATTCTTTTATGTTCCACTGAAATACTTTTTGCAATTGGCTCCTAAACGAAATTCTTGTACGGATCAATTGTCTTCTATGTATCTTTAACTGGAGCTATCAATTAAAATATACGCTTAATAAAATTCACACGTTGGTTTACGTCAAATTTAATTATTGCTGTATCATTACTGTATTAATTTACTATATTACTTAATTATTACTGTATCTTTATTACTATATCTTTATATCATTTCCTACTGTTCGTGCACTGCCTTAAAATTTTTCTAATAAAAAATTTCTATTGTATTTTTTTAACTGATTCTGAATAATTTCCTGGTAGCTATCCTTTTCACACTGAAAATTTCCTGAAGTTATTCTAAAGATTCACCAGCTGCCTCTGTCGAAAGCTTTTTAGCATCGCACACGATGGACAATTATATTTATCCCAAGTTACCTTCAAGTATTTTATGTACTAATTTAGCCCGTTTTTTGCCCCCGCAGCCTATCCGGATCACCCGGAGCGGGACTCGCTGGACGGCAACCTACCCGGCTCGTCCCACGGCACAGGCAACCCGCCTCCCCCACCCGCCCCGCCTCAACCGGGGCCAGCCTCACGCGAGGCCGCCAAGCTTGCCGGTGAGTAATAAGATTTTCTGTTACCGTAGCCTTCAAAATATTTGACTTGAATTAAGAAAAGTATAAAATCATTGAAACTAATTTGTTTACTTTTTAATTATCTGTCGTGGCATTTTTCCCTATTTTAATGGACTTTTTCGCTGGAGTACTTTTACTGTGAAAATAAAACATGTGTGTACCGGTATGTATTATTCGTCATTTTTTTGTCCCTTCTACTCTATGTAACTCAAACATTTAGTAATTTGCCAGCATCTGTCCCACTGAGAAATTGTTTCCCTTCCTTATATTAATAATTATCCATCATTCAATCCTTTTTAATTTCCAAAAATAATCCATTGTAACTGTTCAATTATTCAAATGAATAAAATTTGCGTTTCTGGACAGAACTGAACGGCCAGTCGCTAGGCCTAGGTGCCGGTGCTGCCAAGGGCGGCAAGCACAAGAAGCCCAAGAAGATGAAGGGCGACGCCGACGACGGCGCGGGCGGAGAGGACGAAATGCGCGACAATTTATCCCCGCTGGACAAGAAGGGCCACGCGTCCCGCAAACTGCGCGAGTATCCTACCAACTCGCATGCCTTGACCATGCGCGACCGCGACTATGATGGACCGGGCGGCTACCGGAGCTGGAAAGAACCTTAGTGAGTACCAATTTAGTTTAAGCAAATAAACAATATGGGAATTTAATATCAATAATTACTTAGTTTGACTTAAATTTACAATTTAGGTTATTTTCCTTTGTCGTTAAATTAAATAGCGTAAGAAGGAACTGTGCTATGTGCAGAGATCAAATTGTCAATAGAGCAAACTGTACGTCCAACCGGATTGTGGTACTTATATTGAGGCCGCCATATTCTGAAACTGGTTCAGGCGCTCAATTTTTTTGAGGAAAATCAAATTAATATTGTAAATTTCCTGATGTAAGGGTGCTTGGAAATTTCTTTACATGCTGGGATTATGCTTGAAATATATTTTTCACATTATTTCTTCGAATAAACTCTGTTGGAAGATCAACAACGTAAGTGCTGTTCATCATTTGATTAAGATGAAGTATGAGTGATGAAATAAAACGAATCTACGTCAGACTTTATTTACACACCTCAAAATCATTTTATTTACGTCAAACTGTTCATTTCCAATGCAATGGCTAACTTATTAATTCGTCAATTTTAAAGCTGTCATTAATCTAACAGCACAGTTAATTGAAGTGGAACAATTACGTTACAACCAAGATTTTGAAGAATATTCCTATCGCCAACAAGCTACGTTCGCAGCATATTGATGAACAATATCCGATATAACAGCATATATCGTCTATTATTCGACAAATACAAAACGTTATCGCATCATATTGAATCAAATTATGACCAAAAATTCTTAGCGTGTGAATCGGTTTACTGTCTTAAAAAAATCCAGGTTAGAGCGTAGCAACATAAACATTGAAATGCCGCGTTTGTCGAGCACAGCTTGTTAACGATGCAATTATTTCCTTTTATTATTCACCATATAAATTACCTGGATCCCATTTTACTCGTTCAAAAGACTAGTGTGAATTTATTATATCGCTTAACTTTGACCTATTTTATTAGGTCAAGTCAAGATGTTTCGTGCTGTACACTGCGACAGATGGGAGTTATTTTTTTTTTTTTTTTTGCGCGCGAGAAGGGAGAGAAACAGAACCTGTCTGTGAATAACGGCCGTAGCTTTTTGCACTTATACTGCAGAGGCACCCTTATTATGGAGCATCCTACCGTTTTATGGCTCATACTGCTATTTTATGGCGTATCCTACTATTTTATGTTTATTATTTACCTACGAACGGTCAACGTTTTGCTTCCGTTTGAATACTTTGTCGTGGTTAATAATTTTCTACTTCTTTTTTTACGTAGAATATCAGCTAAGGATAATGAAGTATTTGTTTATGAATCAATTTTAACTTGATCTCTAGTAATGTATATTAAAACATTGATTTCGCAAACATGAGTAGAATTTAATGTCTGCCCTCAAATAACTTTACGCTAATCGAACATTGATATGAGCCAACTTGGTGTTGAAGTGCCAGTTGCACCTGCTTCAATCGCTTAAAATAGCTGCATTCTCTTGAAACTCGGCGCCCTTGTCATCTCTTTGAAACAAAATGAAGGTATAATCCTATACCGACTTGAAGATCATCACTCCTCCGAAATTATCATTACCTTCGTAATTGGGAGCAGAAAAAATCGTTATTCCTTTCCCTCCGCCAAAAATTTCGAATCCATCTACTTAAAATTCATGAGCGCGGACCAAAAGTTGCAGTTTGTTCTTCTCGAGAAATTTTTCCGTTACGTTGGTACCAAAAACGAAAGAAATTCCACGCCAGCTATTTTTCCGACAGCCTTAGGCAACGTTGTTTTGGTTGGGGTCCGCCCAGAGGAGATCTGTTACGACAGTGTATCCTTCCCATTCTTTTAGCGGTCTTGGTATGGACGAAACTTGATGCAGTTTTTCTAGGCTAGGACCTAGGCCTCCATGGCAGCAAAACACGACGTTATCCAAGACAGCGGCGATCGGTAGGCATTCAAAAACCTCGTTTATTTTTAAGTACACTTCCTCGTCCATCCTCTTTTTGCACTCTGCGCGGAAGCCATACCGACTGTTGACTTAACTGAGCTCATGGTTACCTCTTAACAGGAACATAGCGTCGGGACACATGACGGCATAAGCGAATAATAGAAGTATCGTCTCAAGACTATGGCTCCCTCTGTCGATGTAATCCCCTAACAGGAGGTATCGGGACTACGGTGGTCGACCCAAGGCTTCTAGGATGAGAAGTAAATCGTTAAATTGCCCATGAATATCACCCAGAATAATTACGGGTGCATCGAGCTTGAGAAGAGAATTTTACTCTATGAAATGCTAATAAGCCAAATCAAGGAGCCATAAGATTTATGGTTTAGATACGGGAATGGGACCTTTCTTCACTTTGGGTGTGGCTGAGAAAATGCCGGCCACCTGAGCTCCGTTTTCTTAGGGTTCAACTTCATGAAAGGTAATCGGAGTTTTCTGCATAACATATGACTCCAATTTATCAATCAATACAGGCAACGTCGTCGTGATTGGGAGTTCCTCGCGACGATCATCACTCCGCAGGTGCATTCTCTTGCAATGCCAAGGTTTTTGCGAGATCCCCACAAATAAAATCGGCACTGACTGACCCTGTAGAAATTATTATGTTGCTTCCATGTTGTCTACGCTGAATATTGAACTCTATTAGATCTTCTGGTATTCTGTTTACCAGTTAGACTGGTTATGAGAATATTTCACGTCAGCTGTGCACTAAATGTTATTCTCCAATGTATCTAATGGCGATGCGTTAAAATTACAAGAAAATAGTAATGTATCAATTTATTTTAAAAAATTCAAATCAATCAATCAAACTCGTTCAATTCAGCCGCAATAACCGGAAATTTTTATTTTCATTCGCACCTAAATATTGGGATTAGGTATTTTTTATTATATTGCGCAGACTATGAATCTTGAAAATGAAAACCAGTCCGTTAACTTCATCCCTGATAACATTTCTCTCATACAGAGGAAGTCATCAAAGCTAATAGTTTTCATGTAGGTGGTCGAGAACAAAGACCCTTGTGGCTCAATTTCTTTGAAAATACCAAGAAAGTAAAACTCGTTTAACGAAGACCACCAACTTTCCATGATCCATGCAAGTTTTACGTTCACAAACTTCCCTTAATTTTATTTATGCTGACATCGCCAGTCAAACACGATGCTCACATTTACGAGTACTAATTAAATTTTTATTGAAGAACCGTAAAGTCGAGACTAGGCTTATTTGGCTTTGGAAATACGCCTGAAACTCGTTGTTGAGATTTGTTAGAGTAAAATTGGATACTATCGATAAAATCAAAATATTTCTTCTTCATTACAAACATTTATATTCGTATCTATAGAAAAGTATGAATTAAATTGTCCCTCTCATACTCGTAATATCTGCTTATTGTCCTGTTTTCACTTCGTTAACTTCTGCCCGCTACAATATTGTAAATGAAGGAACTGGTTAAAATAGCAATAAACTTTGCCCTCAAGATGCGCCCTGAAACCTGTCTATGGCAGCAGTAATCTACTTTTTTCCAAGCTTCGAGTCGAACTGGAATTAGTGAAGATTGAGGGCAGCTCTCGAGTTGACTTTTTTCAACGATTTTCATCAGAGATCCTCAAGTGTGTTTGTGTTGAGCGCTTGCTAGGGCAAATTTACTCTTTTTCAACTCGCGAACTTGCTTCGTACGTCTGCTTCTATTAAGTAATTTATAGTTACCAACCTCAAAACTTATCAATTCGATTGTATTAGCGGCGATGCGTTTATTTTGATCATTTAAGTGATTTTTTGCAATTAACCTGAATGTTCACTTTCTGAGAAAGAAGCTAACCCAGCAGGCATACGGTGGTTGAATCAACTACGCATTACGACATTGAGATCGGGGTGAAAGGAGGTTTAGAATGAAAATTGAAGCAACATCTTTCATGCAACGTCGTACTGGCGTTACAATTCAACGTTGAATCAATGTTGCTACTACGACGTTGCTGCAACGTTGAATTTTATGGTTGATTCGACGTTGAATCAACTACACATTACGACGTTGAGATCGGGGTGAAAGGAGGTTTAGAATGAAAATTGAAGCAACATCTTTCATGCAACGTCGTCCCGACGTTACAATGCAACGTTGAATCAATGTTACTACTACGACATTGCTGCAACATCAAATTCTCTGATTGAATCAACGTTGAAGAACCAACCTGTTTTTCGTCCGTGGCAGGATTCGAACCCGGGATCGCTGGAGACCGCGCGACGCCTTAGCTACCTTGACCACGGCAGCTCGCGTGCATGAGCAATAGAAATAAGCTAAAGAATTGCTTAACTCCTTGAAAATTGAACTGCATTCTCTGGTCATGAATCGTAGAGTTATATATATGTATTTCATTCAATGTTGGTGTGATAACATTAGTTCCATGCTGGTAAATAGCTAAACATTCAACGTACCGATATCGACCATTTTTCAACGTTGAAATAAGGTTGTTTTCCGTCCTTTCTACTTTTAGTCAGATTTCAATGTTGATCGGATGTTGAATTTTGGTTGTTCAGCATTTCAACCTAAAATCAACATTGATTGAATGTTTAAAAATAAATAAACATTCAACGTACCAATATCGACATTGTTTCAACGTTGAAATAAGGTTGTTTTACGTCTGTTCTAGTTTTGGTCAGATTTCGACATTGACCGGACGTTAATTTTGGTTGTTCAGCACTTCAACCTGATATCAACATTGATTCAACGTTTAAAAATAAATAAACATTCAACGTACCAATATCGACGTTGTTTCAATGTTGAAATACGGTTATTTTACATCCGTTTCAGTTTTGATCAGATTTCGACGTTGATCGGACGTTTGATTTTGGTTGTTCAGCATTTCAACCTGAAATCAACATTGATTCAACGTTTAAAAATTAGTAAACATTCAACATACCAATATCGACGTTATTTCAACGTTGAAATAAGGTTGTTTTACGTCCCTTCTAGTGTTAGTCAGATTTCGACGTTGATATGACGTTTAATTTTGGTTGTTCAGAACTTCAACCTGAAATCAACATTGATTCAACGTTTAAAAATTAGTAAACATTCAATGTACCAATATCGACGTTATTTCCACGTTGAAATAAGATTGTTTTACATCCGTTCTAGTTTTGATCAGATTTCGACGTTGATTGGACGTATAATTTGGGTTGTTCAGCATCTCAACCTGATATCAACATTGATTCAACGTTTAAAAATTAGTATTAATTCAACGTACCAATATCGACGTTATTTCAACGTTGGAATAAGGTTGTTTTACGTCCCTTCTAGTGTTGGTCAGATTTCGACGTTGAAATGACGTTTAATTTTGGTTGTTCAACATTTCAACCTGAAATCAACCAATAATCAACGTTGTTTCAACGTCAGATGCCTGCTGGGAATATGCTTGAAAAAATTGTGATGAATTTGTAATTCAACAGCCAAAAGTGTCACAGAAAGCCGCACATAACGTTAAATCTCTGGAAAAATCAGATGTGAACGCATCATGCCCTGCAGGCCGTGACGTCCCCTACCAAATGGGCATCATTCGTGACTCTTGAGGGAACACAATCCCGTTGTTGGTCTAGAGTTTCACTTGCCTGGACGCGTTCTTTGCCATTTGTGCGAGGCAAAACGCTCTTCGGTACGCAGTCGTGCAGCAAAACGACTAAGACGACTTGTGTCTGACATTGTTTCTCGGGTGACTGACGACGTAGATCTGCACTGGAAGCAGCAGCAGTCTGCAGTGCCCGGCGAGGTTCTTGCGGCATTGCGGCCGAAGAAGATTCATCCGACAGTGCAGCTTCAGGTCTTCCCTGCGCTGGTCGACAGGCACGCGATTCTTTGTGTTCCTTGAAAACTAAGAGGCACTATGCCTGATTCTCTGAAGTGCTGATAGTCAAATTGTACTTGGGGCTCGTTTATTTGCGGTCTTCAGAACTGGAGGTTAAGTGCATGTTTTGTGTTACGGAGATTGAAATATAAAAGGAATTTACCATTTTATATTAGTTAGTGTTGTTTTCTCATTTTCTACTTTGTCTGATGACAAAATAATTCTGTAACTTTTTTTCAATTTCGCTAAAGCGAGTGGTCGTGACAGTATCCCAGAATATATTTACGGTGAAATGCGTTGTGCAGGCTGAAATTGTAGGTTTTAGAACTTCAAATAGTATATTTTCAGAATAAACGACGGTTTATAAATTCGATACTTTTTCTATTTCTGCAGAGTTGTTTAAATTTTGATGCATTCATTGAATAGCTTGACGAGGCGTAAATTTACTAACAATGTCTCAGGATTACGAGGACTTGACAATGTACAAGAACGACAGGAAATTCGATAGGAAACATGAAAGAAGCCGGACGTTGAACCGGTCGGAAATGACAATGGATCCTGAAATGTTATGTGAAATTAGAACCATAGCGAGTACATTATCCATCATTCGTGAGAACATATCAATGCAGCGCAGTAAAGAAATGTAAGTAATTCAATACAATATTTGGCACTGTTAAGTTAGCTTTATTTCTCATTGTTAAATTAGTTTATATCTAATGGCAAAGCTTCACATCGCACCTATAATTGATTTCATTTTTGCTTTAATATTTTTATCTGCATATAAATATTTTATTAAATACTCATTCAAGTGTTTCCTCATTGTATGTTAAATGAGAATTATTCGCATGTATATACTTTTCGCAAATATTTTTTCCAACAAAAAAGTTGTGAATCCCGTTATAATTTTCCTACAAATAAAAAACGCAACGGATTCCTTGAAGCAACTGCCTGGGCAGACGATCCTTCCATCTGAATCAGTAGGTCACGAGAGCGATGAACAGAGTCCAGGTTTTTCTTCCCGCTGAAAAAAGTTGCCCCGGGCTAGAGAGGATGGACTGGATAGTCAAAGTCTAGAGGGAATGTCGCTAGTTTGCCTTAAGCTGATAAACGAATATGGAAGTAGTTTGCGATAAGAACAAAAAATTATCCTGGGAACTAACAGGACTTGCTTAATCAGTACGGAAACGCAAACTAGTTAAAACTAAAAACAATAAAAAATTACGATAATTAACTGGGCTGCCTGTGGGTACAGAACAACTTTAATGCCTATAATTTAATTTTTTGTGTGAATGATTCTAAGCGCTCGGTGGATTCTTTGTGAAGCGGAGAGCCTCTTTTAAAATTTTCATCACACTTTGAAGGATATTTAGCCATGACTTGTTGCTACGAAGAAAGTGATCAATGACTAACTGACAGCATGAAATATCATGAAAAAAGTTTTCAGAGCCGGTATGTACTCTTCTATATTTTTTTGCATTTGCAAATTACATGAGTTAAGTGTTTAAATCTCATACTCAACAAATTAAATTTGTTAACAGTAGCAGAAGAAGTCTTTGATGCTACGTGCAGTGCAATCTCCGAGTACATGTGCATGTTAGGACGCAGTTTACTAGGCTGCACCCTGGGAAATATGTCAGGCGTGTGCAGGGACAGAAAGCGCTTAATTAAGCCCTGTAGCAGCCAACATTTTCAGTGCAGCTGAGCGTTCAGTTCTACACTTTCTCCTGCAGTTGTTGCTTTGAATGGAACTCTTTGAGTATGAAATCGATGACCACGCCTTGACCACGTGAAATTGAAGATCAAAATTTTTCGATTGTTTCGTCGGTCTTCGATGAGACGTGTTATTGTTGTTCCCTATAACACGTGCAGATGCAATAGCAAATCGAACGCCTTGCCATTTTTGTTCATAGGATTATCAGTTAATTTTATGAACAATTTGTGATCATCTAGCTGTCAAAATTTGTCCTTAAACTTGTTTTTTAAGCTGAATCCTCTGATGCTATAAATATATTGATTATACTCGTATCTATTTCACTTGCAAAGTACTAAAGAAATGATCAAATGTATCAGTGAAGCAGTTGATGTTTGAATATGTCCTGCAAAACACTCGCTACTTACGCACTCCATATCGTCAACTTTCTCGATGAAATCCATGAGAAGTTCACACGACGAATCGCCGTCTTTTTCTTTGGATGTTTGAGCGCGTCGCTCCTCGCACCGTGCGACTTTTACTTGGCGTTCGGAGATGCACGCTGCTCGGCGCGCGTAGTGTCACTTGAGACGCGCTTTTCTACGCACGCGACTTTCCGGCGCACACGAGTGAAGAAAAACGTGTATTTTTAGAATCTGCATAGTATTTGTTCTTGTATCGTAGAATTATCACGAGATTACTGACATCGTGGCTGTGTCATACTTACAAAATTTGTGTTACGAATCTCGGTTAGCATGAATAAGTTTGTTAGCTTGCGATTTCTTTTCTGTAATTTTCATTTGCGGTGACAAGCATGGATCAGGACTATTCACATGGCTCGTATTTTTGCTCTGAAAATCTAACTACTTTGTGTGCGACTGAGAGAAGGCTTGGATTTGACTGAATTGTGAAGTTACGTATTCAACAAATCTTGAATTTTTTGAGTTTTTCCTAAACTGAGCGTTCGTTTGTATTTTAGAAATTATAGCTGCTGATATAATTATTCACGATGACTATTACTTACGAAGAATTCAGGTAAGTCGGAGATGGACATTTTTTGTTGTTAAAAATTACCTTTCTAATTTTTTCTTGCTGATCTTGACTGCACGCAGCTTTCATCTATATTACCTTTTTTAGATATGACCAGCTATTATAACTTGCCGAAAAATAGTCCATGAAAAAAGTTAACAATTATCTTTGAAGAACTGTCCGAATTATTGTCCATCTATTAAGAAAAACTGTTTTTAGCACATTTTATCATTTATGGAAAAATGCACTATTGTCTTCGCCATGTCCGTCTGTCTGTCCATCCGTGATTTCGCGTTTTCGTCGACGAGAAAATGTGCTCTCTGTCACTCACTGCATGCAGTTAGTACTGAGAGTACTTAACTTAGGCCGTTATAATTGATTTTCCATGTGCAGTATGACCTCAACTTGACCGGTCTTCTCGGGCTCATATTAATGACTGAACGGCCTTATCAGGCTCGTATATTGCCATAGGCAGCATGTACCTGTGAACGGTCATGTCAGGCTCATATTTATGACTAATATTCCCATGTGCAGCATGTCCCTGTGAACGGTCATGTCAGGCTCATATTTATGACTCATATTCTCATGTGCAGCATGTACCTGTGGACGGTCATGTCAGGCTCATATTTATGACTCATATTCTCATGTGCAGCATGTACCTGTGGACGGTCATGTCAGGCTCATATTTATGACTCATATTCTTATGTGCAGCATGTACCTGTGGACGGTCATGTCGGGCTCATATTTATGACTCATATTCTCATGTGCAGCATGTACCTGTGGACGGTCATGTCGGGCATGTACGGCAAGCTGGTCGTGCTTCTCATGTTCGCATTCTGTCTCACGGAAGTGCTTGAAAATGACGTGGCGCCTCTTACATTTCAGGTAAATACATTCGTTCAATACGAACAAAATTTATCGTTGAATTCTCTTTGATCATTTCTTCAAAGAGGTATGAAATGTATTATGATTTAAGTTTACTTCTGCACAGTTTTGTTATTGAATTCTCTTGGAAATTATATATGTGCCTGTTAATTATGTTCATTGCCTCATTTTAACGTCATTGAGAAAAACTCCTATTAATATATGTTTAATTCTGCAATTTAGCTTTACTGTCGTAAAATATCATTTCTGACATGGTAAATGGCACTTATTTATCAATCTAAATATTATTATTCATAATAAAGATCCGAGATTGGAAAAAGTATTAATCTATTGAACCTTATCTACTGAATAATTACGAATGGTAATTTCAAATTTTTAGGCTGAGAAATTATTGTTCGGTGAGCTAAGTTTGCCGTTCCATTACTACCACGTTCTATGAAATTATGGTTAATGTTCGCGACAATATTAAGACCTTCCTTACCAGTCAGGATAATATTACTGTATACATTCTGTGATTTTGAAACACTGCTGGCCTTGCAGGGAATATTCCTGATATACTTGTACGTTGGCTCGATCTTTGCGATCATCTGCATCTACACGAGCGTGATCATGGAGAACTGTCCCTCCATGAGCGCCAGTAAAGAAAACCTCACCAAGCAAGGAGATCCCGAGGTAGGATCCATCAACTCCTTTGGGACGCTCAAAAGAGCGCACATCTCCAGGTCCAAGACCTCCAGGACCTCCTTCTACTTGAGGATTGGAGCCCTCGGTAAGGAGTTCATTAGATCAGGATTGTATTTCACATGCAGTTTAATATTTTTTTATTCTGTTATCAGTTTTACAGTTCAGGATGGAATAGCATATGAATTACTGAATATGTTCAGAACGAATATGTACAACTAGGCAAACAAGTTGCAAGTTGATGCTTAATAGGCTTGAAAGTTCACTGGTGTGTTCTTTTGTTGAGGGTTTGTGAGGTTTGCATCAGAACAAATTCATATTTTAACTGAAAAACTTGTACAGGACTGAATTTATGTCCACTCTCCTCAATCGAATGCTAATTATTTCTATAGACACAACATTTCAAGCAGCTTCCCAGGTCTTGGAAAATTATGTAAACCATCATTTCTGTTCTGGGTTTTAGTACACCAATGAAAACATTTTGTAACGGGAAAACTTGTGCAGTGTTTGGCCTGGTCACTCTGATCTTCAATGGCCTGGAGATCGCGATGCACTCAACCATGCGCGACGACTGCGCCCAGGACGTCATGTTCGCGCACCCCATCATGCAGGCGCTCTTCACCTTCCTGCAGATGCACTTCCTTTTCGTCAATTCCGAGGTATTGTCTCTTCAATTAATTAAGATTGTTTCTCATGTTTTGCAAGGCTGAATCTCTTCTGTCAAATCCTGAAAAATCATCTCACTCAACTCACGATTATTTCTCAATATTTTAAAGTGAACTTCCCCTTTTTCAACGATAGGTGTTAATAGCTGTATTCACGTTGTCTGAAAAATATCATATTCGACCTTGATTTTTTCTGCGTCAAACATGATGATGTTACGAAAGAGTCACATAACACTTTTGTTTCTGCATTTTTTTTGCAACGGAACAAATCAGATGCAATAGTCGTGATAAAATGACCGAATGTTCTCCTAAACTAGACATCTTGCAATGGCAGAATGATTCCAGCTATAAATTGACAATTGCCGCTCATTTCCTTCCTATTTTTGTGTAACTTATCCCTATAGGTGGTTGTGGAGAAGTTTGGCCAGATCGCCAGGTTTGCGTTCATGCATCTTGTTGCGACAAACTTGGCTATCTGGGTTCGCATGGTCGTCTGGGAGTCCGCCAATGATTGGATCAGACTCAACTATGGCTCAAGTGAGCGCAATTTTAAGATTTTTCCTGATGTATCCTGCCAATATGCAACTTCAGCTGTAAAACTTCGCAAGTAAATTCTTTATATGTTGGTATATAAACCGGCTATTGAATAAGTGCAAAGGTTATATCACATTTAAAATTGTATCGATGCATTTTAGGTGATTTGTACGACATGCCGTGGCACGCTCAGAAGGTGCTGCACCTACACACGTGCTACCATAACAACACCCTGGGGCGACTCTGGACAGGCTCCCAACAGCAGTTCTTCCCCTTCCTTATTGAGTACAGGTAAGAATAAAATATTTTTCGAGGAAAACTCATAAATACCTATTTAGTTTACCATGCAACGCTTATAGGCTGCTGTTTACAACAACAACAGAGTTAACAAACATATAATTATTACAGTATAGTTATTGCGCTTGATGGAAATGACAGTTCCTACTTACTATAGCGTACAAGGAAAACTCTTTAATTATTTTTGTTATTCAGTAATTCATTGTGTAATATCCGAGTGATTCGCTGTACAACCTGGTCCGAATGAACTTGTCAATAACGTTTAGCCTTCGTATAGACCGCATCTTATTTTCCCTTCAGAATTTTCATCGCTGCTACCGTGACGTACATCATTAAGTGTTATCTCTTTGTTGACAGTCTCATCCCTGCTGCCGTGACGTACATCATTAAGTGTTATCTCTCTGTTGACAGTCTCATCGCTGCTGCCGTGACGTACATCATTCAGTGTTATCTCTCTGTTGACAGTCTCATCGCTGCTGCCGTGACGTACATCATTAAGTGTTATCTCTCTGTTGACAGTCTCATCGCTGCTGCCGTGACGTACATAATGTGGCGCAACGTTGGCAAGGAGCACATCAAGAGCTTCTCCAATCTCTCAAAGGCAATTCTTGAAGAAACTCTGCATGAGAAGCGAGGACGCAAGGGGCATTGGAAGGTAACATTAAAGCTCAAACGCTTAACTTTACCTCAATTGAGTCAACAGCTATTTCGTTGTTAGAAAATTGGCTTCAGTTGAGCTTTGAAAAATTGTAATGTTGCTCATTTGTTGTTATCCTAAACCAAAATCAAATTCATGTAAATTTACCTTTGTAATTGAGCAACGTGAGATTAGGTTTTAAATAGCTATCAATCCAGTAGATATATAGAATTTTATTGCCAATGGCATAACTAAACATTTATTTGTGACGATTATAGATAACCTATGACAAATAAATTTGATCACCGTAATAAAACTACAGAAAACGACAAAAATAATGATCATCACGCTATAAGTGATCATGTTTGGAAAATTCAATAAAAATTCAGAAATAAATGCATATAAAATTTTCTGTGTCATCAGGTGGATTGCCGATCAGCTTCAAAAGGCCTGTTCCTGGGCCTGCTGGTGCTGGTGGGCGGCATTGTGATCTTGATCATATTCTTCGTGATGAAAGATCATGATGGTTTCGACGAAAAAATGTTCTGGATGGTGAACGGCTCTCAGATTATAATTCTTTCACTGTCCATCTTGAGCTGCCTCATTGGTTTCTGGCAAATCCCCAAACTCGCGGTTTCATCGACCAAACCTCTGGAGCTCGACAGGTTGTTGCTCTCATGCACAATTGTTGGCGTGTACATCTTTGCGATCTTCGGGATGATCGTCGGCGGACTGTACATCGATGAACAGAAGCTGATGACCATTTTCTGCTCCTGCTGCTTACTTGTTATTCAGGTTTGTTCGATGATCTGCCACTCTACAGTAATGAACTTCCTATAAAAATTCTGCTCTCGTCACTTTTTCTTCCCGACAGAGTTGCTTGCATGATCAAAGATTGATCATGTATTATTCTAGTTGAGTCATCTACTTTTCGAGTGAATGTATAATAATCGAACACTTAGCAAGATATCAAGATAAGCTCCTCTGTAGATGCATTCATATTGATTGACTAGTTTTAATTATAACTCAGTACGTGCCAGTTCGGGACCATAAGATAATTGAATGCACGAAACATAATCACTGCATGAATCCTGTTCGGTGGCTAACCATGCACTCAGTAACTTTTTAATAATTATGTATTTTTATTGTAATTCAGTTATTTTTTAGTATTTGAATGTCTTTGTTTGTGTGACAGGTGTCTCTACAAGGCATGCTCGTGGCAGAAGCTAGCAGGAGGACATGTTCTACAAGGCTACAGCAGCTCGTCAAGCCAGGGCGACAAGTGATCACTTTCTTGCTCTTCTCCAACATCACTTTATGGATACTGGACAGCTTCATCACTCACTCGACGCTCTCCCAACAATTCCAGATCGGATTTTATGGTACCCTTGCTTGGGGTATCATTTCAAGAATATCTCTGCCGCTTATGATTCTATTTAGGTTCCATTCGGCGGTCATTTTGGTCGAAATTTGGAAGAACACGTACCGAACAAAAGCCGAATAGGACAGGTCACCTTCAGCCAACCGCAAGCCTCCCTTCATACCCTCGTATTTCATTAAATCTTGCAGAGAAGTTCAAACTAGGAGAAGGTCTCCACGTGCAAGGTGGTCAACCCGACGGTATGGAACCAGAAATCGCCGTGAAATGTTTAATTCCTCTCGTATTAACGAGAGAAAACTCAAATACGCCACTACCCACAATTCATTTTCTCGCAAGATGGTGAACATTTACGCTATGAGCCCCAAGAGCAAATCTTTCCGCATGAATCGCTTGATTGGGAAAAATAAAATGTTTGAAGCTCTTGAAAGTCCAAAGCGGTTTCACAGATTCATCACGCTCCCTAACTTCATGGAAATTTATCCTACGTTAAGACGCTCTGGAAATAAGGGCTTTGAAGCAGCTGATCATTGTAATTATGCCGCACTGAACAAGCACCGTCGATTACTCCAGAGCAGGCATTTTAGTTCGTACCGACAATTCAATAACGATTACCATACCAGTGACGATACTTTGAACTTGAGTGAAAACACTGATTACATTTTCGGTTTTGGACGTCAGACTAGGAATGAAAATAAAGGCAGGTCGTTCAGAAGAGACTCACAAGTAGACCCGTGTCAAGAAGGCTCAGAACTTACTCCCGATAATCGTACGACTTCCAAATTAACAACTGCTGAAGGTTCGGAAAACCAAATCGTCAACGATTTGTTTGATGCTCGGGATATGACTGAGTCTAGCGAAGTTGTTCACGAACTCCTAGAAATCGTGCACACGGAAACTGAGCTCGAGCAGAGAAGGACTGATATCCTTGGTAAGTCTAGTTCTGACGAGCCTGGAACTAGTGAGTGCAGTCAAAAGAGGTCTGAACGTCTCAAAGCCGTTGTCCAAAACTGGAAGAGGGAAGAAGCCTACGCCTTCTCTTCCAAAGACTCTTGGTCTTTGAAGAAGTTCAATGACCTCCACAGCTCTATTGTTGTTCAAACAAACACCCCGAAAATTATTGGTTGGTCTACCGACGCTAAACCAGATTCTTCCGACACATTCATGACGACGGACGACCTCCGTTACTTCACTCAAGTACCGATCCGACAAAGACTGCGGGAATCCTGGAAAAACCAAGGACTAAAAAACAACTACATACGTAAACTGAACCCTGATGACAATTTCGCTGCTTCTGGCAGTCGATATATTACGGATGGCAAGCAAGATTCGGGCGGACCTGAAGAATATTTGCGGATAACCCGACCTGTGCATCTGCTGCCACTTCCTCGCGACCTCGTCCTTTTACCTCGGAAGGATGGAGGTGTTTTTGTCGACGAAGATTTATGACTTGAAGGTTAAAGTTGACTGAAGGTGGTTTGACTTTACGAGGTGCGACTTAATTTTTACTTATCAAGTTACTCTCATCATATGTATTTAATTGATGACTCTGAAATTAGGTTAACATAATTTATTCCAATTTTGAGTGCGTATCAATTATGCTTGGCGTTTGTATACCTTCAGCATTAGAACAAATTTCCAAGTCTTGTTGGTCAAGACTCTTGTTGAGCATTATTTTCGTATCTTTATTTTGTTGGAAATTATTTTAATCCTAATTAATAAGAATGATCGTTTTTCACCTGAAGAAGTGTTTTTATTTCATGAAATGACTTTTCATCACATTGTCGTAAGGATTATTTTCCCTCACAAATCTCATCTGATATTGAACAATTAATGATTGTTGAACAATTACGAATTTTTTATAGCCTACCTTATTCCACATTGTGCAGTGAAGGTCTAAAAATACAGTATTAATCCAATACAGAATCTAATATTTGAGTTTCATAAAATAATTTAATAAATTTGTATCATGATTGAGATACTGTATATTGTTCATTATATAATTAGGTGAAGGCATACATGACTGGATTGTTAATTGTTATGGGCTGATGGTTCTGTAAAAAGAAAATAACGTTATATTTATTAATAAAATTTAAGGAATTCTGCTCCACATTTTCTTTCTCCGTTGTGAATTTATTCCAAAACATCGTTCAATAAACATATTTTTGACATGCTTCAAAATTTAATTCCTTCAAGTTCAAAGGATGATGCGTTGTGATGCGTTTTTGGAACAGCTCACTGTCAAATTTACGTTTTCTATGACATCATCAGTATTAGTTTTCTATTCTTTTATTCTGCGCTTAACTAAACTAAATTATCGGCTTCCAAGTGTTAGCGAAATTGTAAAAAACGTAGCTATGATCTCTGATGTGATGTCTGAGCTACACTCTCTGCGATAGTGATGCTGGATGAGAGGGGTGGGGTTGATTTTGTGATGCCATGAGCCTATTCATTCAGTGCCAACACTTCTATTCCATTCTATGCATGAGAGAAAGAGAGACGAATGCATGGCGATGAGAGTGGGTCTGTCAGCAGTGGTGACTGCTGCCATGACTGAGAGTGGAAAGCGATATTTGGAGAGTGTGAAGAATGAGGGAGAGGAAGAGGTTGGCGAAAATGGAGGTCGGAAGGGTGTAAAGATTCGAGTAATAATAATAATAACTATTAAAAGAAAACAAATATACATGGCCTGAAAGATGCCAATATCTAACGCAAACTTCAAAGACTGCAGTGCAATAAATGGGACACAGCAATACAAGACCAAATAACTTACCTGTTGAACCTTACTTTTACCTATTTTCAACATACCCTTAACACGAACTTTCCCACCACTCTAGCCTCGATCAGCACCAATGTTGCTCCTACCTGACGTTCCTTCCCTCTCCTCCTACTTAACTTTCCTCTCCTCCTACCTTAACTAATGAATTATTATACCGTGGCAGCTAGTCGATATGAAGGCCCGATTCTTGAACGTATTTTTTTCAGGGTCACCACACCCCAAATCCAAATCCATCTGTCACTAGCACTTGAATATGGACTATAACAACAACTAGACTATAATCTACATTTATGAAGTCGTAATAAAAAAAATTATTTTGCATTTGTATATTTTTCTCAACAAGTACAAAAATCGGGAATAAAAAATTAAATAACATTCATCTCTCCATCTGTTAAATAACAGTTTGCATCAAACCCAACGTTAACTTTCCTGTAAAATCTTTGATCGCTTGTGTTTTCGTCATCACATTCATTTAATATTTTACTGAATCTCCAGAAATGCCGATGTCGTGTCTGGATTTACCGAACCTGACACTGTGTCAAATGTTTTGCCCCTCCATCGTTGGCTCATCAGCACACTGAGAAAAAGTTCTATTATCATCTTACATACGTCCATGAGGCTTCATTGAAAAAAAAATTCGTTTAAATTTAGCAAGTTTAAATTCTTTCCACGTATGAAATGGATTCATTGTGTTTTTCTTCTCTTTTAGGCCAGTTTAACTGATGGGCTTGCAATGCAAATCAGACTGCGGTGGTGTACGTTAAAGAAACGCCTGGTGATATTTCCATGTCTCGTGTAATTTTTCATGTTATTTGCGTGACGCGACGCCCGCATGGTTATTCATGGTGCTTGCGACGGCTTTCAATGCACGCCTCGCTTATTACTACGAGCACGCAAGCCAATTATTCATAATAGGCTAACCTGCTGGGCTGACTGAACCTCAGACATTCAGTGGACGTAGGTAATCTCATGATCCTTTTCCATAGAATGTATCGGTTGTAAAGGCGTAAGGCGAGGGGAGCAAGCTATTATTTGTGAAGACTGCATAATAAATAGGGCCCTAATTTTTCTTTTGTAAAGCGTATTGACTGATGCGATCATGTTTTACAGGAATCCTTTAACATGAAAATTTAAGTAAGAATTTTAATGTCATATGTCAAAGTCAATTTTGCAGCGCCGTGAAAATTCTACTTTATTTCTATTATTTGCTGCGTCAAAATTTGTTTAATTGCGTCACATTGCATTAACGCCTTCGCGCACGGAACATAGGATGTCTGAAAACTTAATTAGTTTTTCTCAGAAATATATATCCAAATTCGTGTCAATTAGACCAGATTCGAGTTAGAAAATATTGTGGGCAAATATCATTAATACTTCATATGGTTAAGTTATTTTCCCGGGAGCGTGGCGCAAAAGGAAAAGCATTCCTGGAAATATGCCAGCTCTGAAGCTTCGCGTCATTTTTCAACTCGCTAAAAAAGCCAAAATTAGAAGTAATCAATCTCAGGCAATTCTTTCATATCTACCGAGGTGGCCGGAAGAAGCTGACAGACAACTCGTAAATGTCAGCACATTTGCAATCTCTCAACTCTTGCTGATTATGGCGCCAATTGTTCACTCTTATACCCGAGATTTTTATTCATTATGGCAGCATTTTATGCGTACGTTTCCCTTATTTCATTTATTTTTTGGTTCATGATTTATCCTTTCTTCATTTTCTTCCTCAAAGACGACAACATTTTTAATAATGTTTCCGATTGTTTATTGATGATATTACTGTATGCCCTCATCTTTTATTCGTTAATGATTTCAAATGACGTTGTCATTTGTCAGAATGGAGAGCAACAAAAGCGCCAGACAGGTACGGCTGAATGAATCACATCGTGGGCAACAGTTTTGGACCAATACTAATTTCGAGGCTGTCATTCGTTCACTTTGTTGAGGCAACACAAGTTGCTTTGTCCAGCTTCTATGCGGTAGCTCGCTCCCTGCAGATTGCCCTCGAATTTAGATAACCGATCAAGTTCCCTAAGAAGTTCCATACCGTATATATAATAGCTTTCCATGAATAGAAGTTCTGCCTCCACTGGGCAGGTTAAGGTAGAAAACATGAAATGATTGACAGCTAAAATTGATTCATCTGTGTTTCGTTTTAATGGTGAGGTACCGATTGAGATGGCCTTCGTTAGTGTAATGAGGAGGGTAAAAAATGCATGGATCAACCTTATGAATATTTTTCTGGTTTTGAAATTCTTGTACATGAATGGCGATAACCTTGAACGATATAATTGCTCGATATCAACAGTTTATATATTTGATTCGAGTAGGATTCCTGATGAAAATGAAGGACTTGTTTTGAGTTTGAAATTCCATACAGACGTGCATAATTTAGATTATATAGACTTTGTGGTTCATGGAAATGACTATAATTATTATGAGATCAACGTTAGAAGTGATTTAAGTATTATTGAAAGGTCACTACTAAACTATTTATCTTTTCAACAGTTCCACCAATTCATTCAAGGATCAGCGATATAACATCGCTTGCTCGCTTTCTCAAGGCGCTTGCAAGCATGAGATTCTAGATTGCCTGCTCCTCTTCTTTGGATTACAGAATTATTTCTTGGAGTGCTCTCAATATTTCACGAGTCTGTCAAATGGAGAGGAAAAGCCTCTTCGAAGCCTAACGTATACATCAAAAGCCCTCTTTAGAAGCCCAAAGTAATTACTTTCTCGTGCATATCAAATATGCAGCAAACGCATAAAGGCTTCCTGCCTGGACTTATAAGCTGGACCGTGTAAAAACCGGCCATTCTAAACATCCCTTCGAGTCATGAGTATACCCGCCTGATATTTTTGTTTCTTCGAGAGCGGCTTAGCCAGAGTGAGCTGCAGTTCATAATGATTGAGACCTGTGCACATACGCTGCTATGCAAGAGTAATCCAGGTGCTAAAATATTTAATTAAAACGGTAATTTGCTGCACAAACTCGAAAAATAATTTTTACAAATTCTCTAATATTTTATGTTGAAGTTTTTAATCTTTTCCGAAAATCAAAAGCTTGCACAATCCGGCTAAAATAAAGCGTTCCTTCAATTAGGACTTTTTTGCAAATGAGAAATAATAGAATTTACGGGGCACTCCCATGGGCAATTTTTTCCCTAAGTTAATAATGTCCTGAATTTTGTAATTAACACATTAAATGAGAGTTTCCTGCTGCAAAGTTTTTCATAGGTGGCACTTGGAGTCGGCAGCCCCTGAAGGTCCTTGTCAGTAGTGGCGGACAGCACAATTTCCAAATGATACCTTCAACTAATTACCACGCTACTGGCCGCTAGCGTCTATACACGAGGCCAATAACATGATAAGCAGTGGCGCATATCATCTGAAAGTTGTAGTGGCCGCCTTCACTAACATTGAATGACTCCGAGCGTTTGTCGAACGTGATTCTCTTACCCAATGCCATTGATACTCAAGCGGAGTTACAGACACTTGGTAGGTCTTTTAACAAAGTATATTAGAACTTAGACTCAGTAATATTTCATACCGCACAACGCAGTCAGTGGCACTCGAAGTGGGTGGCACTCAGGGCTAGTGGCACTTGAGCCAGTTTACTAACTAGCCTCTGACGAATGCCAGACGCCGCGCAGGCCATTCCCCTTACGCATATGGTGACTCTTGAACAAATCTATGGAATATATCGTCCCAGCTGACGAACTTCTTTCGCTGGAGCTTCTTTTTTCGTAAAGCGATAATTGTGAAAATATGAGACGTTATCAACATAGGAGGAACGTTTATGTGACTGATCTTGTTTCGGCTGTTCTATCCACAATTAAATTTTTCTTTCTAGATTTGGAGTTGTTTTCATTTTATTTCACATACATTTTGCATGCTGCCAAATTAAAAAAATATATTTGTTCAGCTGAAGTATTATTGATTTTCAAATAATATTTCAGAGTCGTTTGCTAGGCGGGTCCCGAAATCTTTACCACATTCAAGTTGGAAATTAACTGATATTAATTAATTTCTGTCTCTTTGCCATCGCTGCAACAAATCGTTTAAATTCTCCGGAAATTAATTTAAATTCTCTGTACAATGCTTTATTATATTCTTATGTCACACAGATTACACAACCTAAATAAAAATATTACTAGACGTAACCAGCAATTAATACATTTAACCTTTAGGCTGGAATAGCTCAGTTTGTGCTGGATTCTGCTGATTATTCTGCATGTTCAGTAGTATCGGCAGGGATAATATGCGCTTTTTCAAAAGTGTTTGAATTTCACAAAAATTTACACTTAGCGAATAATGATCTAAAGAAAA